TATATATATATATATATATATATATATATATATATATATATATATCCGTACGGAGTGATCCGGGAGAAACGTAGAAACCGGTCGCGCACTCTCAGTATTCTTTCAACAAATTTGTCGTTGAACCTCCATTAGCAAAGGTTCAGCCGGATGCGAAGCGAAACGCGCGGATCGCTTTATATTCGTGGGGCGTTCTGTTTTATCTTCTTTCTCCCTCCTCCTCTTGTCCTCCGTTCTTTATCTTCAATAACGCGTGCAAACTGATCCGAACGTTAATTGTCGGCCGAACGCGTCCCTGAATAATTAAAAGACGAAATAACCGGAACGAGAGAAGCATGATCCGTGAGAGTCGTTCGTTGGATATTGGCAAGTACAGCAAGCAGCGAGATCGAGATTCGATTCTTGGTTGAGAGGTTAGATATTAATTCTTAAAAGGTTAACCTTTAAATACCAATTTTGTTTCTTAAAGGTACAGTTTTTTTTACTTTTACTTCTTTTCTTGCAAAATTAAAAATTAAATTAAAAATAGAAAAATTAAAAGTTAAAAATTAAAAATTAAAAATTAAAAAAATAATAAAAACTTTAATTAATAAAAAATTATAAAATTAATTAAATAAAAAGTTAAAAGTTTTATAGTTTGACGACAAAGTGATAGAGGGCCGTGATGCTGATGTCCTGTGGTTTTTAGAAGGGCATATTTATCTTAACAAGGTAGTGAGTGATAAATGATATGTTCTAAATATCAAATAAACTGTGAATTCAACTGAATAAAATTATTATTAATGGTGGAAAAAACACATGTTCCGTTGGTAGCAAAAGAATTAAATGGAATCAATTAATACAGAACTTAATCATTTGAAAGAAGCAGTGGAGTTTTTTTAAAGGTCTATTGTCCATACAATTCTTGCAAAAAGTAACTGGAAATTAGAAATAATAATTTTATTTTTTCTGTATGAAAATGTATGATATGTATATGCGATAAAATAACGATCAAATAACATGTTTTTATTGTAACATTACGTTATATTTTTATAGTTGAATTATTGTATTTCTCTAACTTTTAAACTTTTACATATCTGAACCACAATGAAACTTTGCAAACGTTGTTTTGAATACCTGGAACCGATTTTTCAATAGTAGCTTC